AGTTTTGAGGGACATGCTGTCAGACAGTATTGTTCCTTTCTTTTAAACTCTCCAAATAATACACCAGATCTTAAGACCATGACAACATTGGTCTAAGGCAGCTTTTATATCCTTCCTCCTTCCCTCTCTTTCTCTCTCTTTCCTCTTTTCTTCCCTTCCTTTTCCTCCTTCTAGGGTTTTTCTATGGGTGACATATGAATTGTTGTGACAAAAATGCCACAAATGTGTTTGCATGTGACTGATAATTGGCCTGTGGACAACCCACTCTGTCTACACATGCTGAGAGGGCTAGTGTTGGGCTGGTAGGAAGGCAATACCCCAGAAAAACTCTGTCAAGCCATCTGTGAGTGTTAAATCAGGCACCCAACCCATGACCATCCAGAGTGGAAGATTTCTCACTAAATCTCAGATTCTTTTTTTAAAAAAATATATTCTATTGATATTTTACGGAGAGGAAGGGAGAGGGATAGAGAGTTAGAAACATCGATGAGAGAGAAACATCGATCAGCTGCCTCCTACACACCTCCTACTGGGGATGTGCCCGCAACCAAGGTACATGCCCTTGACCAGAATCAAACCCGGGACCCTTCAGTCCGCAGGCCGACGCTCTATGTATTGAGCCAAACCGGTTAGGGCATAAATCTCAGATTCTTAAGAGTAGGAATTGAGTCTTGTTCATCTTAGCCTCCACTGCACATAACATGCAGGAGGTACTTGATAATGCTTGTTGAATAAATGGATATAGTTCAGTATCCATCTATAACAGAGTTTAAAATTGTGTGCTAATTATAGATGGCATAGAGGACTCTGGGGTGCCTCTTACCTCAGAGGCCAGGAGAAAAGCCAAGAGTACCCTGGGTGTGTGCACCATTGTTCAAGCAGATGGTAGCCACACATCTTTAAGTGAGAGTGTCCATGTTCCCGTCAACACATTCTCCCTGGAGGTGGGTGTCTATGTATCTGAACTCTGGACCAGGAGTCTCAGAATAAATGCAGGCCTTCTAGCTGTAGATGTATTTTCTTGTCTTTAAAGCCTTCTGATCCATAATAAAAGCAAAAATGGACAATTGAATTTTCCTTTCTTTTCTAAGCCAAAATGAAGTGCGTTGTGTGTCATTGGCACTTACTCAAGAAATGTTTGAATGACTGATTTGAATGTGTAGGCAAGCTGGCAGGGACATCTGTCACAGTGCTGATGGCCAGCATGGATTTGGCTGTTCCAGCTGGCTGGGCGGGGTTCCTCCTCTTCCCTTGGTGCTCCTCCCAGAGCTCCGGGAAACAGGCTACCTTCTAAGATTAAACAGAGCTTTTTTTCTTCTGTTTAAGGATATATATGACATTTCCCATGGTGTTTCTTTACCTGTTTCTTGTTACCTATTCACCTCCATTTGCGTAGCTTCCTTATTTGTTCATAACAAATCCCACCATTCTAACTACTACAGCCATCTGGAGTTGTGGAACACCTTCCTTTCCCAATTTCCTCACGTGGCAGGAATTTCTCAATTTTCTTATCATCTTCAATCCTAGGGTTGGTTTCTGCATCAGGGCCCATTTTTCTGATGGCAGGTTTTTGGCAGAGCTGCTAGACTCATAAAACAAGGTAATGGCCTTTAGGAAGTAATCACATTAGCTATTGTTTCACAGCAGTTGCCCTAAGAGCCTGGAAAAGACCATTCGATTTCACCTCAGAGGAGCAAAAGGAAAAACAGTCACTGTGGCGGTAGCATGTAGATGGCAGGGAAGGTGACTGCTAATTTTACAAGCTCCTGGAGACATTCTGGCACCTTCACAGGACACCAGGAGACAAGCAGTCACTTTTGCTGGCCAACTTTTCAATCTCCTAACATTGAAAAACTCACAGAGAAAAGAACTTTATTCCATTTTGCAATTTTCTCTAAGATCAATATTGCATGTGGAATTCCTGATGGGAAATTGCTATAAACATGGTAGCTAATTGTAGGTTAGTAGATATAACAACCCTCTTCTCTGGAGAGCTTATACATATAGGTTGAAGGATAAAGTAGGGCTCAACTGTATTTATTTCTTTGTGTTTATCCAAGTCACTGGCCCAGGCAGGAAGGTAATATATAAAAAGGGACATTTTTGGAATAACTGTTTTTGAATTATGCTTATGAAACATATACTCTGCTATGGAGGACATGTGGGAAAACTACATTCTGACTGCATGACTAATTTTTTAAAGCCTTGCATAGAGAGAATTCTCCCCAAGAACACAGCTGGGTTATTCCTTTGTGGACTGAATGTGTCAGTTATGAAGTGAACTAAAGTGAAATTTTATTCCATCATGACAAAGTGAACTGAGCAGTGGACACTGCAGCTAAGGTATTACGTAGTAGTTCATACACCAAGTACTATTATTTTATTAACTTTAAGAACATGTTTTACATAAAAACAAGCAACATCAAAAGAGCTCAGTTGATAAATGAAGATAATATATCACAGATGACTTCATTCCACATTAACCTATATTTATTAGCTTACACTGAGAGATTAGGAAAAAAATTAGATGTCATTCCAGCTTTAATCATGTATACAAATCGTTTGAAAGTTATTTCATTAAGATTCTCAAAATAAAAAATTAACCTATGCCATCTGATCCATGCAGCAATTGATAAATTCAATATTTTCAAAGGAAACATTGAACTTTTTTTCTTGCACCAAATTGAAACCTTTCAGAAACTTGTATAAATTTATCAAGTTCCTAACCCACCTTTTTAGTGTGCATGAGCAAAATACTATTTAATTTCACACTCAACTAATTCTTTAATCATTTTCTTTCAGTCAGAATGAAAAATTCTATTATTAATTTCCTAATAAAACATTTAAAAAAGTTACAGAAGCTATGACTCTAACCTTGGACTGGTTTCAATTTCTTCTCATTTTTTTCCTGAGAATACATCAAAGATTAATGTCAATGGCAAGTGAAAAATTGTCCCTAGAGAACTTCAAGATCTTTTTCTTACCACATTGAATTGGACTGTAATGAACTGACATTATAGCATCTTTATCATCACTTTTAAAGTCCTACTTTCTCTTTATACCAAATATGAAAGCTTGTAGAACTATTATTTACTTTAAATTACTAAAATGTATCACAGACAAAAATATACAATTTTACACTGAAGCAACATTAAGGATCTCACTTCAGTTGATCAAAAAAGAATGTTGAGGAAATTTGCAGGTTGTTTTAGTTGAAAAGATTGCTTTTCCTTTAGGGAAAAAGAAATAAACGAGATCTCTCACTTGTCTCCAAGGGCAAGATATCATAAACCTCATGATCAAAATGCTGCCAGATAGAAACTCCCTCACTGAGAAATGATCACTACAACTTCAGTGTGAAGCCCAACAATAACAGCAGCAGCAACAGCAGCAATAGGGGTGGGGATTAGGGGACAAAACCAAAGGGAAGAAAAGCCCACCCAAACAGAAGCCTTCTCAGTCTCTGCATTGACTTTCCTGTTTCTCACCAGTTTAAGACCTTTAATGTTACTCACTGTATGGTTGCATATTTGAGATATTGAAAAGTAAAAGACTGGCTTAAAAGCACCTCCACCTCAAGTGTGTGTGTGTGTGTGTGTGTGTGTGTGTGTGTATGAAATTTCTCGTATATATATGAGAAATGTGCTAATTAACCAGGACGCCATAATGGGCTGACGGGACAAGAGGAGGTTGCGCGCACAGCTTCAGGGGTGGGGCGGCAGGGGCCTCCATGCGCCTGAGCTGGGGGAAGGCCTGACCAGCAGCGACCATGGCTGCTTCAAGGGTCAGAGAGGGAGTGGCCAGCACCGTGTGATTTCCAATCGCGCTCTGGGCTCCTAGTAATTACATAAAAATTAAAGATTCTTGTGACAGTCCTTGGGACCCCATTTGCTACTGTTTCATGTATAAGCACCATTGAGCCATTTTAAAAGCACATTTGCAAGGGTCAAGTGTTCAGTGTGTCCTCAAGTGCTGTTGATTTATTTGCTTTTAAACAACAAAAGTTTAAAATGTGCTAGTTGACACTCTTCTGATCATAGCTGAATTGACAAAAATGTTATTTTTGGAAGTGTTTTGAATCACTACTTTCTCCAACAGACTAGAATGGCTTCCTGAAACTTGTTGATTAAGTAAAGAAACACATAATTCCCAAAGAAGCATATATCTGACCCTCTATCACTGCATGCAAAGTAAGGGTTCATCTGAGAGTATTTTTCCCAACTCCTAATGCAAGTAGCAGACAACACAAAGGAAAAACTAATCTTTGAACTGACCAACTTCAATTTTTAAAAAAGTTTGACTGAGAAAAAAAAATATCATGTAAGACTTAAAAATTTAGTGATTTACAAATTATAGAAAAGATATGTTATCTACAATATATGCCAGGTGCATTATTTTTTTTTGAAACCTACATCCAAATGAATGCATAAAAACCACCATCTTGGATCTTGGTGCTTTCCAAACTTCTGAAATCTCAGTGAAGGAGAAGACATACCAGGTTTTCTTGTTATTATCTCAGGGGAATTGGGCAGAGGTGAGAGGAAGTGAGCCTTCACTCTGACACAGGCCTTCTAGAACAAGCCAGCTTAGGGCACCTTTTTATGGTTCAATTAAAAGTAGTTTGAAAGTAGTTTATCATAGAAATTCAAGAGATTTTTTTACCCTGAGAGGGCTAGCTGGCAACACAATAATATTAACAAAGCTCTCCCTCAAGCACAATTGCACTACCGCAGGGGGATGGAGTTGTTGAATGGGTGCCCTTGGCCAACAAACCACCGTGATTTAATGGAGTTTGGTAGCTCTGTGACCCTCTAAACTAAGTCAATTTTTCCTTTCTCTTTTTTTCCAACTGTAATATGCTTCAAAGGGTAAAGGATTGCAATTTTAGCTTTTCTTCATGGATATATTGCTTTCTTCCAACAATATCTGACCGAGCTGTTAGCCACAACCCACGGGGGTACTGAACAGTTGCATGAGGTCTCATGGAATACAAAACACCAAGCATTTTCAGTAGTTTATTTGCATTTTTTCTCTGCTTATTTTAATATGCACCATGTGTAAGTTAGATGAGGGCTACTGTAAAAACATTTTTAATGACTGAAATCTTACGTTTCCTTCTAATGATTTGGAGAAAACCACATATTCATTGATTGTGAAGAATAAAATTATTTCTGCTACAATGTTGCAAAAAAGTATTCATCAATATGAATAGTTCTCATCTACAGAGATGATTTACACAATGCAAGTAATGGAAGTGTTCTTTCTTAACTAGTCTACTAATGAACTAAAAAGTTGAATCTTAAAATTTTCTTGAAAATACTATATGGTTGATTACATATTAATAAAGGAAAGACAGTCCCCATCACCATACTAACACCATAAGAGCTATATTAAATACTTAGAAAAAAATATGGAAACACTTATGGCAATGATTAAAATGATAATTACAGAAGTACACTCCCATAATGGTACATATTTATTTGATGATGAAGTGAAAAAAAAGATCAATTTGGTTATAGAAATTACTTAAAGAACACTATCACTTAATGAATTCAAACTTGAACTATCCCAAGAATGTCATGAAAAAAAATTAGAAAGCATTGGCTAAAAGCAAAGCAGTCTGAATATACCAATGTAATCAGCATGCTTTGTGCTTTTCTGTTAACCCTTTGAGTACATTTCTGATATTCAGGTCTTAACGGCTTGATGCTGAAAAGATTGCATTCCATCTGATTACTAAACATTTCTACTTGACATATCACAGACACTGTTTACTCAGCATAAATCACAAATTCGACAGCAATGCATTGGGCTCTCCATGCTGAATGGGCCCTATATTCTTCCGAGCTGCTCTCTGAAGTGGTTGCGAAACACTCCCCAGCTTCACATGGTCCACAGTTTCCCAAGACTTGGATGGAAAAAGGCTGAGCCATGCACTATAAGTTCTATACAGGAAATGCTGTACCAATACGTGTAATGTCCACGGGAAAAGCAGTAATTCAGAGAAAGAAAGGAAAGTGACAATCTTCTGTAGGTAGGTCTCTGCTCATAAGATTCTTCATAGTCACACATTTAGAGTTGAGGCCAAGTTATATGGCTACTCCAGTGTTACTTAGAATAGTGCTTTGCTTTATAGTTCTAGACAAAGCAGTATTTCTGAACAGTTCTGGGTACTTCACTGATGTGGAATCTTTCTACACACCAACACCTTTCCTGGTATTCTGCCCTCACCCCAACCTTGACTGAATTGTGCTACTCTGTGATATTGTATGGTATCATTTCAGGACTCTCTAAAAGGGAGACAACTTTTAATAAATAATCTACTGCTTACATTTCAGGACAACACAGACTAAAGAAATAAACCTAAATGTAGAAGAGCAAAAAATTGAGGGAACTAAGTTGTAAAAATCATGACATGGTAGGACCTTAAAATCTATATTAACATAGGGCATAGTTTATGCGTTAAAGAGTAAAAGCAGCAATTGAAGACAAATGTGTATTTGAAAATAAAGAAATGTCAAAGACCTTCAGATATTGAAATATATTCAAAACAGTGACAGTAAATGCTGTTCAGCTTTACATATGCAAATTTTATGAGACCTCACTCTTTGGTTGTCTCCTGCATCTCAAAACTGAGCAAACCTTAGGAGGACATTTGAGTTGGGTCCCTGCCTCTAAGACGCCATGGCTAGCCTTTTCTCTAAGCATCACAGTAAAGCACAGGAGGCCCCCATTCTGAAATGTGACACATTCCAGAAGAAACTCAATGGAGATACAGGGCTAGGGATCAAGGTTTTGTCACAGGAGTGACAATTCAGGTGTCAGACAGGACTTGACCCATAGAGAGAAAAATTACATGCCCCTCTAGATAGCTAAAGACAGCGGTGTGTAAAAAGGGCACCTTAGGGAATGGAAGTTTCATCCTCAGTGGTATCTTCCAGTTCTCCTATCCTGTTCTTCCTGGAAAATCATATGTAGGAAACCTAAAGGTACACAGGAAATGATCTTATCAGTGTTTTATTTCCTTAAAACCCATTTTAAAAATATTCTAGATTGTTTTCTGACTGTGCTTTCTCCTTGGCCACCTTGCAAAACGCTTTGCCTCTAGTCCCCTGTGCTCCAGCACTCCTGCATATGGATTTGATATTCTATGATTTCACACTGAAGACAGCAGTGCATGGAAAAGCAGGTGAGAAAAAAGACCAGGATCTTGTTTCCTCTTTCTGTTTGAAATTCCAGTCCTATAGAGCACCTGGCAATTTATTGCTCTTTTCTACCAGTTTTTTTTTGTTGTTGTTTGTTTGTTTGTTTGTTTGTTTTGTCCTGTAGATGGCTCATACTGAGCAGGCAGACCCTCCCTCACCAAGCACAAGACAAGGTATGTGTGTGCCTTCCCGAGGGTCTGTGCTGGCACTAGCAGCAGCTGATGTGAAAGCAGCATTTCTGGAGTGATATCAGCACATCTTCATATGGAGATAATTTTGGGGGAGGGGGGTACCATCTCTTTTGTGGGTCAGGCTGTTTGCCACAGGAACAATTTCCTCCACTTGGGATGCAGAACTCATAGCAGCTGAAAGTAATACCTCTAATGAGAAAAGTCTCTTTCTTAATAGGACTGTGAAGAAGAAAGAGGGGTGTTTATGCCTAAGTTATAAAACGGCCATGATCTAAACCTATAGAAAAGGAAAAGCAAGATATCATTCTAGGTGCCTTTCTTTTCTGGATATTGTGGCATCTAAAAACACCCCTAGATCTGCAGCAAAATCAAGAAATGTGTCTATAAATCCAAAGGCCTGGAAAATTCCCCAAGGGGTCTCCAAAAACCATGCACTCAGAGGATTAACATGTGCTTATTACACACTGCAGATCCTAGTTTGATTGATGAAAATATTCATTGCTTTTAAATTTTAAAAAGTTGCAAAGTAGACTTAACCCTTTGAGGATCCTATTAGCAGCAAGTTGCCATCTTTACAAACAACATATCTTATTCAGCAAAGGGAAATTACTACAAAGGTACCAGAAAACACACTTTCTGTTTCTGAGTGCTAGATAGATCAGATGAAACTGTTTTTACATAATTTGGGGAAAAAATCAGAGAGTCTCAAAGGGTTAGGCTAGGACTTCGAGTAAAAGGGTCTTATTAAAAGGGCGAGTTTGGGGAGCGAACAGTCTCTGATGAGCTTGGGGAATAGTCTTCGGATTCCGAGTTGAGTTCAGGCGGAGCTGGCTGTGCCTTGTATCGGCTCCTCACATCCTGGTTGCATCTTCGTCGGAAAACCTGCCTCTCCTTATCAAGAGCGGTGGTCTAGCAGGGGCATAAAATGAGAAAGAGAACAATTAGGCTGAAGGAAAGGGCACAAGAAATTCTGAAATTCTGAGGTCAGAAAAACATACTAGCCAAAGTAACCTATCCATTATGGCTTACTTTTGTTGACAACAATTACCACTGTTGGGGAGTTCTCTGCTCCCCAAGTTGTAGCTGCTAGGAGCACCTGACCATGACATCAGCAGGCACAGGCAGGATGGATGATGTTGTGGGTTCAATTCTTCCCCAGTCCGCCCCAGACTTCCCCTAACTCTGCAACCAAGACCTCTGGTGGCACCCTGGCCACCCAGAGACCCCTGGTAAGTGGGCATCCCAGGCCTGTGTGTCTAACATGTGAGGATGCCAGGCATGCCTCATTCATCATCACTCAGCTCAAGGCAACTGTATAATAAAGATAAAAAGTGATGAAGTTGTCAGACATGGAAACAGAGCCACAAGCTCATTCTATTATTTTAGCACCTTCTCCTTCTAAATTATCTTATTATCTGCTGACGAGGGAGTACAGCTGAATCTCTGGGAAGAATTGTTTTAATTTTAATGAAACCAATGTCTGAAATTGAAAATTGCTTTGAGTGCAATTAAACCAAATGTAAACTTTCCAAGGATTTTTCTTTACAAAGTTCATTTCATCATAGTACGTGGTGATTTATGAAACTGAGATTCAGTTCTGTAGGTATTCCAGCTCCTGGTCTCCAATCCTCATTTTCCTGAGGAACCTCAGATGATCGCCAGGCTGTGCGATCCAGCTGCAACTCTGGAAGCTATTATGACATCAGAACTGGGAACGGAAGGCATGACTTCATTACAGATTTAATGGGTGTGGGAGGAACGGGGTCATTACAGAAAAACCTTACACAGAGAGCAGAAGAGCTGGTACAAAACCTGATGAAAAATATAGAATACATATAAAAGCTTGAAGGCATCCTTGTTTGAAAGTCCCTCTTTAAAAGGATGTAGCCTGGAGGTTATTCTGCTTTTAAGAGATTACTTATCCTCTACAGGGATATATACCATTATTTTTTCCTCTTGAAAATTTACTATTAGCTTCTTCAAAGAATGGAGATAAATTTATAGCTGGCCTGGTTCTGAGAACAAAGTGAAAACTATGCCTCTCTTACAACTGCAGTATAGCATTAGAGCAATCTTAGATCTAAAGTAGGGCAATCAAAGTTCTGAAATGAACTAATAAAGAGGGAAAAAGAGGCAGCGTGTAGAACCGATAGAGTAAATGACTTCATTAGGTTGAGCTGTGCTGCTTTAAAACTGTCCACAAACTGAATAACAGTTTTATAGACTCAATGAGGAAGATAAAGTTTAGTAATTTACTTCTCATTTCACTAGATTGTTAATACAATTATTCAATAACTGGTTTGTTGAAATGTCTATGTTTCATTCTTCTACTTGTCAAATTTTATTCCCACTGATTTTGTTATTTTTAGCATCATAAACTCAGATTCCTAACTTTATTTAAAACACTGTAAAGTCACAGCACATGGTATTTTGCTTTCAAAGCAAACTAAAAATATCTGTTTGTGCAGAGATGTTTGCAAAAAACAGACATGTCTTTAGTCTGACTTACATAAAAACCATTCTGTAGTTAATCCAAGAGTAATATAAGCTCTTCTCATGCTCATAAAAAAATATTTCTATTTCTACCTTCTTGAGAAAGAAAAAAGTCCTTGGTATTGGACTTAATACTGACTAGTGAATGGAGGCTTTCGGGTGTGGGGAAGAAGTGCATACTAGGCTATAGGCAGGGATTATGAGTCCTGCTCTGTCCACTGCTGGCTGTGTGAATCATTCACTTTTTTCTCAGTTAAATGAGGAGCAGATCTAATCCCTTCCCACCCTCCCAGAGTTGCTATAGGTAAAGATAGATGTGCAAACGCTTTCTACATAGCCAAGATGGCCAGAAATGGAAGGGTTTCTTTCTTTCTTTCTTTCTTTCTTTCTTTCTTTCTTTCTTTCTTTCTTTCTTTCTCCCTTCCTTCCTTTCTCCCTTCCTTCCTTCCTTCCTTCCTTCCTTCCTTCCTTCCTTCCTTCCTTCCTTCCTTCTTTACAATTTGGTATAATATATTGTTTTAAAATTAAGTAACTGCAGGTCAATGCAATTATTAGAACTTATATCAGAGTACTTCCCTTCCCCACTCTCACTGGCACCTTCTCCATATTTAACTCATTTCCCCATAATTTACTCTGTTACATCAAGTCACACTCTTGACTTCAGCCACTGAAATAGGTTATCTACACTAATAAAAGAGAAAAATGGTAATTGGCGTACGACGCTACCCTTTTCATTGGCTAATCAGGGCTATATGCAAATTAGCTGCCAACTCAGACGGCAGTTAACTGACAACAAAGATGGCGGTTAATTTGCATATGTAGGCACAATGCAGGGAGGCAAAAGGGAAAGCAGGAAGAAGCCCCCTGCCACTGACAGTG